ATATATATATATGGTATCAGATTGATCTAATTTCTGTGCACTGAGGACAAGCAAGTCCTAGGTTACAAACTGAACTCTCCAATGCAAGAACAAGATGCATTTCTTCCTTTAGGAGATGCTATTGTCAGAAGAAAATAAAAAGGTTTCAGTTTTGTTTTTGCATGTGGGTGGGTATTCTGTTTGTAATAATTGTTTGGATACACTATATTTTGAATATGCTAGTTGTGATAATTTCATGCCAAGTAAAAATATCCATAGTCATATTTTATGTTCCTAAAGTAACAGAATGACTTTCAATCTAGAAAAGACAAAAGAAATTTTTTCAATTTTTCCAAAAAATTCCGTTCCCCCCCAAAAAAACTGAAAAAAAAAAAAACGGGTTTTTTTCCGAGCTTCAACATTTCCAGGAATTTTACATCTCTAGTCTGCACTCTGTATATGGCCCTGATCTGGATAGCCCAGGCTAACCTGATCTTGTAGGATCTTAGAAGCTAGACAGGGTCAGCCCAGGTTAATACTTGTGTGGGAGACCAATAAGGAAGTTTAGGGTTGCTAGGCAGGCAATGGCAAACCACTTCTGAAAATCTCTTGCCTAGAAAACCCTACCTGGTAGCCATAGGTTGGCTGCTACATGATAGAATAAAAGCCCTCTATATATGATCAGAGAGTGAGAAGTGCCTTTTGCAGGCTAACAGGTACACAAAGGAAAAGCAGGGTGGGCACAGCTCATCTCCTATCACAGAACCAGATAGATAGATGGATGATGGATGGATGACCTAGTCAGAGAAGAATGAAGAACAGAAAAGTCACATCTCATCTTGGGGAGACCAGTCTTCCTTTGGGAACAGGAGAAGAGAGAGGGTCCAGTGGGGATGGGGAGAAAAGCCCCTGATCACAAGGAAGAAGCTCTCTTTGCAATCTTGGCCTTCTAACTGAGAGCTATCTCACACCTGACCTCTACTGAAATGGCAGCCATGACCATGTGTTGCCGAACAAGGGGGAGAATCCCCATAGCATGAAACCAGGAATAACAGAAAATTTCTGAATTCTTGCAACCTCAAGGATAAATAACCTTTCCTAATTTTGCCATCATTTATGTGAAAGTTAGGGTCAGAGGACTGTAGTTATATCACTTTTTATTTGGGTTCACAATTAGTCTGTGTATCTAGTCCATATGTGTGTTTCTTACTTTCCTATTAAACATCTTTATATTTTGAATGCTGATAGTCTGATCCCTGTACCCATATGAAGTCCTTTCAGTCTCACTTATCAAGGAGAAGTAAGGAGCTGTGGTTGATGCCTTCATCCCCAGCAAGAATTAGTGAGAGCAAAGCAGGAGATGCAGTGTCAGATTGGAGTCATTAAATGGCAATGCAGTAATGAGTGCTAGTCCTTTATCAGGAGATATTCTTTAAGGCTAGTAGATTGCAGTGGAAACACCCGAAGGACGAGAGAGGCTATGCCAAACAGAAACCTGAGACAGCCAGAGAATTTTCAAGTTCCCATGTTGTCAGAGATGGGCTTGAAAGACATTGCACCACACATCACTTGCACTAAGATCCTAGTATGAATGTTATTTTAATGTGCAGAATCATGCTAAAATAAGTGGAAGACCTTAGTTGTTTAAAAGAGATAGTTCAAAGAGATAGTATCTGCATTAGTATAATGTAACCCTTCAATTCTTTCTGTTCTAACAGTTTATGCTGTAGAAAGAAAAGACAGCTGCCTAGGCTGTGTGTAACTCCCCTGGATAAAATGTACAGATACAGATATCAAGAAATGAAATCTCAAACATTGCAGTTGTTCACAGTTCTTTGAGAGGCTTTCCCCCCAAACTCTGCTTGTTTATTTTCAGATCACTGCTGTTTTTTTCACCAGTACCTGATGAAAATGGAATTTCTGGAGAATATGAATCAAGTGAAGGAGTTAGCTTTGATGAAATGGTGAAGAATTTTGGCAAGTTGTTGCAGAAGAAATGTCAGTCTGTAAAATCAGCAAACCATCCACTTATTATCAATATTGTACCAGAGCAAGATACGTTGGTATCTTCAGCATGCACAGATGATCATTGGGATTTACCCTATGTTGTTCATTTATGGCCTTCTGTTCTCCTCCGCAATCTTCTTCCTTATCAGATCACCTATTCCTTACAGGTAGTGTCTGCACTGCTTTGTTTTCCATTTGTTCTGTGCAAAAACAAATTTTCATAGGTCTAGAATGTACCTTTAATCATCCAATTGGGACAGATTCATGACATGCATGTTCAACAGTCATGAAACAGAACTTACATTTTCTGTGAAATCTGCCCACTTGTGTTTAAAACATGTTGCCATATTGTATTGATCCTAAAAGGCACATGGCAGAAAGTAATATCAGAGTGCTTAGTCTTTCTTTCCTTTAATCCAATAAAAGCTCTATGATGTACATAGATCTTGAGCAGTGAATAGTTATTATAAATAATTTATTACTCAATATACAAAAGGAGTAAAAAAACCTTTGCAACTCCTAGGGGGTTTGGTAGTGCTGTAACCATATCATAGGGACATGAATCAGAGCAGGCTGACAGACATGGTGAAATAATCTTCTGAAATTAATATACAGTGGACATGCCAGGAGAATCTGTGCAATAGTATCAGTCTTGCCTAAAGAACAAGAGCAGATTCATTCTGAGTAAGGTAAATGCAAAAACCTTCCCTCATAACTACTGACAAGTAGGCATTTAATCTGGCCCAAAGCTAAAATAAAATAAAATTCCCCAAGGATTGAGCATGGCCTTGTGGCATCCTACAATATCATTCTGGAAACTGTAAGTAGTCTTTCTGAAGCAACCACAAGGGTTGCAGCCAGGTAGGGTTGTATTCTATACTTGTCTGTTTCCTTTTTCTCTCCCTTCTTGTACCTGGAATGCTGTTTCAGCAATGCCAAAGGACTGGTAGCCTTGGGAAGCCTTTGCAGTTTTTGTATCAAGACCGCCAAAATGAGATAATTGTGATAACAAGAGACACTTAAATGAGGCAGTGGTTTTCAAAGGCAGAACTTGCAAAAAGAATAATTTTTATTAGTATTAGCATTTTCCTATGAGATGAGCATGAGATTCTGCATAGTTGAGATTAGAGCTTTTAATTAATAACTGGCTTCTTTCAAGACATATAATGATGATGTCCCCATGTTTTTTTAATTTGGGTTGGAATTGACTAAGTTAATGACTGGCATTAACTATGTATGCTTTGACCACATTGGAACTTTTCTTTCTAAGGGACATACTACAACATGCAATAACCTTGAAAGCGGATGTTCAGCTCAAATTCATAATGCAATCCTGGATCAGAGCAAGCTGGAATTATATTTACTTAATTATCTTGATAAGAAATGGAGCTGCGAGTACCACATTCGAACAAATCAACAAGAAATTAGTTTTGTCACTTTTTCATGTGTTACTGATGTAGACAAGACAGAATTGGATATTGCTGTCCATATCACCTATGCTACAGGACAAATGATCATAGCAATTCATAGTCCATACTGGATGGTAAACAAGACTGGCCGAATGCTGCAATACAAAGCTGATGGCATTCACCGCAAACATCCTCCTGACTATAAGATGCCGCTTCTTTTTTCTTTTCAACCAAAACACTTCTACCAGAATAACAAGGTAAAATTTTAAATCTCAGTAATTTATTTAATTGTGAAGTCCAAATTAGTTTAACAGCGCATTAAGCTCTGATTCTAGTAGTATCTTTCCTGTTGACAATATAAGAACTGTATATTCTATGTAGTGATATCATTTAGTATATTAATGCTTAATCTTATATTACATATCATTTTATTATAAATAATATACTATGTCCTCTCTTTTTAGGAATGATAACCTTGGAATTATAGTTAAATTGCTTTTTACAGTTGTAACAGTTATAGTGCCTCTCCCCCCCTTTCTTGAATTCTACTGGTAATAGATTTTCAGTGGTAACAAATCATTGTTCTCCTTACAGGTTCAGCTTATGGTAACAGACAGTGAACTTTCTGATCACTTTTCTCTTGATACTGTTGGCAGTCATGGTTTTGTTAAATGTAAGCGCCACAAAAAGGATTTCCAAGTGAGTTGTTCATGTAATACATAAGTTTCTTGCATCCACAAATCTAATGCACATTTACTTTGAATTAAAGTCCCACTGAATTCAATTTGCATAGAATTTCAGGCTTGCCTCCTACGTTTGATTTAATTTCAGTTTGGCGTTTCACTGTCATAGAATAAATCTTTGTGTAGAAATAACAGCATCTTATATCACTTTAGAGGCTAACAGATTTGTTGTGACTTATATTTTCAAGGGCTATACAAATTTACATCGTTCCTGTAATACTGCTTCCTCTTGAAATTATGGCCTCAGGTTACTTTTTAAAAGAAAAAAATACATTTTTATAAGTGAATTGTTTATTAACTTTTCAATATATTGTATTTGTACTGTATCAATTTATTGTATAATAATAATTATTATAAATTGCTACAAATTAACAATTTTAAAAACCCTCCAGTAGTAATGAAGGATGGGCCTATCACCACTTTTGTCTGTACAACTTGGACAAAACCTATAAAGTTGACTTTAGGCACCCCCCTCCCCAAGCATGTAGGAACTAGTCAGCACCATGTGGCAGAGAGTATGTTTAAATGAGTAAATCACATGAAATTCATCATGTGGTTCTTCCCACAGATTTGGCACTGGTGCAGAGGGGTCTGTAAGAAAGAACACAAAGTACTTTCCACAACTCCACAGGAAATGGGACACAAACTGTGTCAGGTTGTAGGATGCAGTGTGGGTTGTGTTTTTTACTGTTCTCCTTACACAAATGTCAACAGATTGTGCAAAAACCTGCTAATATGGAAGTTTTTTGAAAGCATGCACACTAAAGAATTTTATCTTTTCCAGGTTGGTGTCACTATAGATAACAGCAGTTTTAACCTCACTAGGATAGTGACTTTCACACCTTTTTTTATGATCACAAACAGAAGTACACATAATTTAGAAGTAGCGGAAGAAGGCACTGAACAATGGATTCCGATAATTTTACAACAGGTAAACATTTTAAGATTTTAAATTAATTTAAATTTGTTTTAATTCTAATACCTAAAGCGGCTGTAAATAATTCTGACCACCCCCACATTTCATCTACTGTGGGCTTTCTGGTTTTAAAGTAGCCTTATGCTGCAGTTTGCTGTGTAAGCATAAAAGAAATAAAATGTATAATGTGCTCTTTGTTATGCTGATCCATATAGTAAAGGTTTTCCCTTGCTCGAAAGCTAGTCGAATCCGACTCTAGGGGGTGGTGCTCATCTCCGTTTCCAAGCCGAAGAGCCAGTGCTGTCTGAAGATGTTTCCGTGGTCATGTGGCTGGCATGACTAAACGCCAAGGTGCACGGAACACTGTTACCTTCCCACCAAAGTGGTACCTATTTATCTACTTGCAATGTCTTGCTTTCTAACTGCTAGGTTGGCAGGAGCTGGAGCCAGAGACGGGAGCTCACCCTGTCACATGGCACTAGGGTCTCGAACTGCCGAACTACAGACCTTCCGGTCTGCACCTCAGCATCTTAACCTCTGAGCCACCGCAGCCCCTGATCCATATACTCATAGCGAAAGGAACAGTTAGATTGCACTTTAAAAAGTACAGTGACATATGTAGTGGCCCCTAGTGCTTTATTGACTGCTTCCATTCATAGCAGCATTTATTTTCCTGGCCATGAAATCCTACATGTAGGGTTGCCAACCTCCAGGTGGTACCTGGAGATCTCCTGCTGTTACATTTTATCTCCAGACTACAGAGATAATTCCTCTGGAGAAAATGGCTGCTTTGGAAGGTGGACTCTATGGCATTATACCCTCCCTAAACCCTGCACTCCCCAGCCCCCCCCCTCCCCAGCCTCCAGGTATTTCCCAACCGAGAGCTGGCAACTCTATGAACATGGGATTCTGTGTTCTTGGCTAAGTTATTGCTTAATACTTTTACTCTTATTGTTGACTCTTCTTCCTATTTTCAAAACAATAACATTGATCTGGAACAATATGTTGTCCACGCAAGCAGTCCTGACATGCCCCTGCAAAAAATGCGTAGTGTGAAATGGATTACTATAATTATGACCAGCAGCAGTTTCTGCCACCACTGTGGCAGGATAAAACAGCTGTTACAGTCATGTGCAACATTACTGCTCAGTTGAGTGGCAGACTTCCTAAAGTTAAACACTTTTAAGCTTCACTGATTTACGTTTAATTAATACAATTATTAATGATTATCTAAAGTCATATCATGTCCCTTACTGGTGAATGCCCAGCTCACACGTAATACCTGTACATGTGTGCATATTTAGAGAAGCTTGTGGCTGACTTTATGTAAGAAAATATATTGGGTGAATTTGACCTTCAGAAGTCCCACCATTCCACAGTGTCTCGATTTAAAAGGATCTGGTAGTAGATGATGTGAAACACATCTACCTGGAACCCTGGAGAGCTGCTGTCAGTCATAGTACACAATACTGACATTGATAGATTAGATATAACAAAGCTGTATATGAGGCTTCATTTCTCATTTTATAAACATAGGTCCTATAGTATCCCAAATGATTTTTAGTAGTAGGCTACTCTTTTGCTATTTTATATTGACTAAAGAGAATGCAGTATTTTTTTAAAAAAACTACAGTGCAGTTTTCCATTATGTATTTCCTTTTTCTTCTAGTGTACTCCTTTTTGGCCTGAAAATAATGAAAGTAAATTGCTTGTTAGAGTAGAACATTCAGACATGCCACCAAAAATTATACAGCTCAATAAGCAAGAAAATTGTTTGCTGTTGCGCTTAGACAACCAGGTAAGTGGTATTTTTAACTAACTTGGAAAACATGTATATTTCACTCTCTTCCTTCCAAAATTCAGACAGCCTAAGGCCTTTGCTGTCAAATTATAAATGTCTCCTTAACACAGTAGATTTTTTTTCCTCATCTTGAATGAGGCTGTCATTAGTCCTTTGCTGAAGAAACTCTCCTTGGGAAGCAGGCTTTCACCAGTTATAGACGAGGCTTTAATTTACAATTCCTAGGTAAGGTAGTTGAATAGGTGGTGGCAAAGCAAATCCAGGATTTCCTGGATAAAACATTTGCCCTTGACCCTTTTCAAGTCATCGTCAGATATGACTTTGAATATTGCTTTGCATTTCTGGTACATAAACTGTGTTTGTAACATATCCTTGGTGGTCTTGCTCAGTCTTTCTGTTATCTGGAGTGGTAGACCATTTATTTATTTATTGTCAGATTTATACCCCACCCTCCCAGCCGAGGGCAGCTTACATAAGAGAATAAAAACACACAAGTAAGCAATTTAAATAATGCTAAAACCATATAAAACACTCCAACATTAAAAGGTACTAACATTAATAATACTAATAAGTTATTAGATGATTAGCTGATGGCGGCCAACCTTTAGTATTCCATCCTAGCAGTCAGCCCATAGATCTAGCCTTTGTGCTGCTGGCACAGGCTGTTCCTGATGTCTTCAGGGAACAGGGTTCTCTATCGGGGGCTGCTCCTAATTGAAGGCCTGGTGGAAGAGCTCCATCTTGCAGGCCCTACAGAACTGCATGAAGTCCCACAGGGCCCTGATCTCATTTGGGAGCTCATTCCACCAGAGAGGAGCTGCCACCGAGAAAGCCCTGGCCCTGGTTATAGCCAGCCTGGCATCCTTGGGTCCAGGGAGCACCAATCGATTTTGGGACCCTGATCACAGTGCTCTCTAGGGAACATTGGGAGTCAACTCTCAACCAATGTTCATCAGAATCTCATGGTCAGATAACCAGTATTTTTTGTTGAATCAGCCTTTACTGTATTACAAAAAGATGAAAGGGCCATTGCAGCAAGGAAACAAAAAGGGCTCCTGTAAATGCCCTGGTTGACCTCTGGAGTGAAGAAATGACCTAGGCAGTTGGCATGATTTCTCCCAGGAGCTTTATCTTAAGTGTTAGAGCCCAGGTTGCCGCTTCAGTTACTGAGGGGCTCCTGGCAATTAAGTGAAGGGAGTGGCTAGAGCGACAATAGAGGAAGACTCAGGACAAATCCCATAAGACATGGGTAAAAGCTCATTTTAAATAATATTCCATGGTAGTGATGTTAATGGTCCACCACCTTTGCGTTTGCACAGTGTAGGCCAGTGGAGCTGTTCCGGGTGGTCAGAGGTCTGTTGGGATCTTGCCTGCAGAAGGAGGTGGATTGCTGGGTAGCCCACTGTGATGGTTTTGTTCAGCACATTGCAGATAAATTCTCTTGCATCCATTCTGACTTGGACCATATGTTAGCAGTGACAGGGTCGGATGTCACCAGTGTGCTGAATTATCCGATTGTTTGGGGTAGTTTTCAGTATCCTACCACTTGCTTATATGACCCTTGCCTTTCCTGGTTACTTACTTTATTATGTATGCTTTAATTTTTTACCCACCTTGGTAGCACTTATGAAGGCAGAAACACGAGATACAAATGTTGTGGAATAAATTAATTTTGTGGTGTTACCAGCCTTCTTCTCAGATTTCTGAGAGGAAGATGGATTTATAAATATCTTTAAATAAGTAAATAACCATATAAAGATATTCATTTAAAACATTTTTATGCTGCCTATAGATCTGATTGGGGTCCCCAAGGCAGCAGCCATGCAGCATTAGAACAATTAAAAACAACATTGCATTATAAATAATTCAGTAAAACACATAAAAATCTCTAGAAGAGGAGAGCCAACAACCCTTATGATATATGCCAAATGAAACAAATAAGTCTTCAACCACTGGCAGGAAACACCAATAGAGGGAGACAGATTAATTCCCTGGGGTGGGAGTTCCAAAAGTATTGGTGCCTCAACTGAGAAAGCCCTTTCTTGGGTTGCCTCCTGTCTAGCATCAGATGGCAGGAGCTACCTAAGCGGGGCCTCTGAAGACTAGACTGAGCAGGTAGGTTCATTTCTGAGAAGATGGTCCTTAAGGTTGGTCCCAGGCTGCAGAGGGCTTAAAGGTCAACTAGCACCCGGAAGCAAATTGGAAGTTATTGAAGATAGATCAAGACTGGAGTGATATGGGGGGAAATGGCACGGCGCTGCGGGTGTTTTCAGGACGCTTCCTGATCTCACCAACCTTTTTTGCTTTTTTTGGGAGTCCCCCCCCCCGTTGCTGACCGAGTCAGACTCCACCCGATCTCCTGGAGGGAGACCAGGGCGCAAGAGGCTTGTCCGGTCCCCCCCGCAATGGCAGTTAGCGGGGGAGAGATCGTTTTGCCTCGAAGCAGGAAGAGGAGCAGCGTGGATTTCATGCTGTACAAGCCGCGACCTCCCCTTTTTAATTTTTGACATTAAAGGAAAGGAAACATGCAACGAGAACAGAAGAGTGAGTATGTATTTCTTCACAAACTGAGTTAAATGCCCATTAACTGATCCCCTATGGAGTATTTTTAAACACAGGAAGTGACAGCGGCCAGGAAAGGAATTAACGATAAAAGAAAATGGCGACAGAAGGGGAGAACAGAGATACCTCAATTGGAGAATTGGTACAAATAGAATTTCAAAGCACAGAATTTGGCTGCCTGACAGTGGAACATTTTAAAAAATATTTGACTGACCAGGTTTGCCAGGCAGCCGAAGAGGCATGCAAAAACATAAAGAACCTTCAGAGCGCATGCTTGCAAACTGAAAATAAAGCAGAGTTCGTGCAACATCAGTGACCACAAGAGAGTTATGAAAACAGACAAGATGATATTCAAGAAAAAGAGGTTCAGGACACAAAAGGGGAAAAAAGAAACAATCCCAGACAAAACCAGGACAGTAATAAACAAGGAGTGAAATCAGAAAGGATAAAAAAGAATGCCAAAAAAAAACCCCCACATGCAGAGAAAAAGAAGAAGATAGTTAGATGCAGAGTGAGACGTCTTTCCGGGAACAAGAACAGAGAAATTAAAAAACTGCAGCTAGACTTGGCAACTTGGAAGAGACAGGATTTTAAAGCTAAATACACCGAATACAACGATTTAAGACATGTAAGATTGACAATTAAAAAGAAGTTGCTACAGGAAATTAAGCAACAAGGTCTATTGCGTGGGTCAGATAACTTTTGGAATAGTAACGTATGAAAGAGTTTTGCCTGACAGCTCATTGAGTTTAAATAGATACTTAGATAAAATTCAAGAAGGTTATAAAAGTGAAAAGGATTATATAAGAAGGAGTAGTAGTGCAAAAAGAAAAGAATTTCCCGGCTCAATCTCCCCCCCGGCTCCGAAGCGAGGCCCAGCGGCTGCAAGCCGCTTAGGCCTCGCTGCTGTCTTCCCCCCCGGCTCCGAAGCGGCAGCGAGGGAGTTCGTAGAGCCTTCCCTGCGCATGCGCAGGGGACGCTCTGTCACTTTTGGGGGGATTTAAGTATCCCCCCAATATTTTTTTCGGGTTTACAGATTTTTGTGCACACCTAGGGACTGCCCCAAGTGTGCACGGAAATCTCCCTCCCCCCCATGTGCCCCCGATGTGCGGAAATAAGTATCCACACGCAGGGGGCCATGTTGGAAATTAGATAAATAGATTAAACCTGTTTCATTTTTTTTCAAGCATCATGTTAATAGGTTAAATGGCTGTGCAAGTAACTATATGTTTTAAATTTATGCCATATTATTACTGATAATAGTGAAAATGTCACCTGTATTTAGCTGATATACCTGCAGTATTAGGTATTTGGAGTTTGTTTTTGTTTTGAAAAATAAGTATTTTTTCATTTAAGGGATCAAAGTAATATGTCTACTTAAATTTGTTTAATTTTCTGTAAGAGTCATGTAAATAGATTTGCCAGTGGTTAAGTAATTTAGTGCTTGAACTGTATGTTATTTTATGCAATTAGGAGGGATAACTTATGTGGATATTTTGACTGGAATAATATACCACTTATTCTAGGGCTGGTGCTCCATTTGGTTATGTGAATGTGAAAAATAATGTGTTGAGTTGTTATGGAAGAGATTGTTTAAATGGAAGAGAAAGTTTAAATATGTCACGAAAGAGACTAGTTAAATATCACCTCAAAATATTACTTTAGGCTCGCAGATATACTTGTTGCAACAGGCACTTTTGTTTTTTGTTTTTATTTTTTGTTTGTTTATATGTTTTTGAAAATTAATAAAGCTGGAGTGATATGGTCTCTCCACTGTAGTCAGCGCTCTGACCACAGCATTCTGTACCAGCATTCCTTAGAACCTGTTCACAGTTTCCGCAGATATCAAGTGAATATTTTTAAATGTTTAAAATGTTTGATTAAAGCAATTCTTATTATGGCAGTATTAGTCTAATGAATGGTTATAGTCAAATGTAATAAACTTTTTTAATATCTGATAGCTTGGAGGCATCATAGTGGATATTACACTGTCTGAACATTCTACATCAATTGCGTTTAGTGATTATCATGATGGTGCAGCTCCATTCCTGATAATTAACCATACTAAAGGAGAAATGATTGAATATGGACAAAGGTATGTATACAACATTTTAAAAAACTCTGAAGAATACAGGAAATTATAGAATTCAGTGATATGAGCAGTGTTCCCTCTAAGCTGAATTAGTGTGAGCTAGTTCACAGTTTTTTAGCCTCCGGCCCACAAATTTTTGTCTTCGCTCAGGAAGGATGGCTCCAGAGCAAACTAAGTTATGCAGCAGCCAAATTGCTCACTCACAACTTTCATGCCAGTAGCTCACAAAGTAGAATTTTTGCTCACAAGACTCCACAGCTTAGAGGGAGCATTGGATATGTGTATACCTGGATATTGAGTATGCAAGCACATTCACTTACCTTGTTACTTCTCTGCTTCACTGCTTGTTTCTTGTTGCTTCACTGCTGATGAACTGGAGCAATGAACTTGGGTTCATTAGGCATGAGGCATAACATGTCACAGAGATGAAAATAAAACATGTTTATTATTTGCTAACTTTTATCCTAATTTTTGTTTGCAGTTCTCTCTGTGTAATGGAAGATTCTCTAGCACCAAATAAAGCAGTGTTATACGCATGGGCTCACCCAGTAGGCTCTAGAAAATTAAAATGGAAATGTGGAAAAGGAAGTGGGGAAGTAACTCAGAAAGATGTATGTATGCTACTTTTAATAAAGTCAGATCGTTTCTGTATGTTTGCCAAAATAATCTGACATGGTACTTGACTGATTAACAAGTTCAACAGTATTGTTAAAATCAGTATCCTAGTAAAAATTCGGCAGCAAGCAGCTGGAATTATGAACAAAATAAGTGGAAGAGACCTGATAAGGAATTAGGATAAAGGGAACAACAATGTTTGACTTGTTATAGTGCCCATTGCCAATGGTATAGTTCACTATGTATACAAGCATGGGGATCTTCAGGTTTTTATGTTCCATACTGCTCTCATGCACAGTGTGATTACTAGTTGCTTCCATATTTACAGCAGCTGGCGAACTGTGTGAGCTTCCCCTGCAAATCAGGATTCCAACTAAGGATAGTATCACTAAGGACTGCCACAGGAGGTGGTGGTGGCTATAAGCATGGACAGCTTCAAGAGGGAATTAGATAAGCATATGGAGCAGAAGTACATCAGTGGCTATTAGGCACAAGGTATAGATAGGAACTCTCGGTCTGGGGCAAGTGATGCTCTGTATTCTTGGGGCATGGGGGGCAACAGTGGGAGGGCTTCTAGTGTTCTGGCCCCACTGCTGGACCTCCTGATGGCACCTGGTATTTTTGGCCACTGTGTGACAGAGTGTTGGACTGGATGGGCCATTGGCCTGATCCAACACTGGCTTCTCTTATGTTCTTAAGTTCAAACTTTCTGGTAGCAGACCTACTGTCCATATTTTTTACTTTTGTAATGCCTTATTAAAATTTGTTAATCATTCTTCAGGGTTCAGTTCCTTCCCCATGGTTGCTAGACGTTAAATCCCTGCAGTTGTATGCAGTACACAGTGTGACATTTCATATAGTACAATGTTGTATATTTTGAATTATTGATAGCATGTTGGATAGCAGGTATGTTTTATAGTAAATCTAATCAAAAGAACAAGTACCCTCCTGTATTTTAAATCAGTCCTGGACAAGCTGTAACAGAATAAATCATTAAAGGTAATAGAAACATTCTGTTTCCATCATTGCATAGAAACCATTGCAGTCAGAAATTTAGCCACAGCCAAAGTAATACCAGGATCAATATCAGCAAGTAGGAATGGCACATAAACAAAGGAAGCCTTGGAAACTATCATTGACTGTATCCACAGATCTTTTGAAGAGGCATTTAACACACAAAGAAAATACAGGATAAAGTTTCGATAGTGCCAAATCTATATGCATGTAATCTATCTGAATGGGGTACTCCTTGAAATCTACCCACCAAAACAACAGAAGGCTACTTAGCCTAGCCAAAAGAAAAGCCATCCGATATTTGGGGACAATAGATGAAAAGATGGAAAGTTAAGAAGGGGCGCAAAACTAAAAAACACCATAGACCATATTCTACAAGCCCTGCCCAGAGCCAGCTGATGATCTAATGCCTCCAGTGCTCTGTCTAAGGATAGTGTAGCAGCCCATGTGCCAATACACAGGAGGAATGAAGGGGACAGCCTTACAAATAAAGTTGGTATTCAAGATTGGACTGTCAATGTGAAACATAAAGATCTGACTGTAAAAGAGAAAGAAAACTACTAACATCTTGAGGGGAAAAAGATCCTCAAGTAAAAGTGAAAAGCCAGCTTCAAAGGAAAACTTCAAAAGGGCTAGCAATAGCACTATCAAGTCCAATAATTAATCCAAACTGTCACATTATATAAAAGCTAAGATAGCACTTTAGCCGTAAAGGCTTGAAATTTTGCAGGGAACCACGGGGGGGGGGGAACCAGGGGGGGGGACAGCCACCAAGGAGCTGGCCACTGAAAGTTGAGCGAACAAATTTTGAGCTTTCGATGAGAGAGAAGCTTGAAAAATAATACAAGTATTTTAAAAATATAGTAGAAGTGCCTATGCTGGTTACTTGGGCTTCATGCAACAATCTGGTGACATCCACAGACCAAACAAGTTAATTATTTGTTTATTTAAAATCGTGTATATCCCTTTGTATTTCCATAGACTGATGGTAGATAACATGCAACAAGTTGCAAGGACATAAAAGCATATGAGTCCATTAATAAAATAAAAGCGACATGCAGGTTAAAAATGCAACCAAATCTGCCAAAACATGTAATTTTAGGAGGTTTATGATTTAAACCTTAAGCTGCAATCCTAAACATACTTATTTGTAAATGTTTTGTTATCATAGAACTTGCTTCAGGATAAATGTCAAATCGGCTGCAAGTACATTTAGGATTTGAAACTGTTGGCCTGAAAGTGAATGTTTGCTTTCTGTCTGTTACAGGACTTGATGACACCTATCCAAGCAGGAAGCAAAGAAATTTATTTGGTTTCATTTTTTGAAGGCTTGCAGCGTATTATCCTATTCACAGAAGATGAAAAGGTTTTCAAACTGGCATATGAAAGTGAAAAAGTTGAATTGGCAGAACAAGAAATAATTGTATCATTACAGGATGTTGGGATTTCTTTAGTAAATAACTATTCAAAGCAGGAAGTAGCTTACATTGGAATCACAAGGTAGGACTGATATAATCAATGTATAATGAGTTATATCCTAGCATTCAGTTCAAAGCAGCAAATTCTATCAGAGCAGTCCAAATCCTGCCAATTCAAGAGACTCCACTGTCAGTAAAGGCTCTTATTGTACCAGTGGGACGTGCCATGCTTAGAAATTGAAAGCATTAATCTAATGTTTTAAACTTAGCTACATAAGTATGAAATGGTGGGATACAAATGTACATATTTCTGGGTGATTTGATTCTATTATGTTTTATAGAAAATTCTGTTCAGGGTAGAGATTTATTTCCTGAAATCATCTGTTTGGAGGTGTACAAGCATATCAAAATTAAATATTTTTTAAGTCCCATTCTTTTCATGGTGAATGTTCTCATTGAATTGTCATGAATATGACTTAAAAGTATCTTAACTATGGTTGAATCATCCTGAGAATTCTATGTATTTTATTTAGGTATTGTTTCTTATTTAGGTTATACAATATTTACAAGGTGGGAACCCATAAAGACATGTGGGGGGTATCTTCCCCCCCCCCACATACACACTATTTTCTCTT